AGATGTAATTCGTTGTTTGTTTTGTTGGAGGCCTCATTTCTACTAATAGAAATAAGGTGCTCTTTAGTTGTAATTGTTCTTTGGTGGTTATGGTAATCTTTTTACTGTTGTTACCAAAAAAAAAAAAAAATTAACTTTTTGTAATATATGTAGTAAATGTTGAACTCTCTTTGGCTTCTTTGTGTGTTTACTCTTTCATACTTTGAACCACTAAAATACACACTTTATGTATGGATGGGCTCGAACAATTATAAGGACTTTAGCAGACACAAAAACTGAAAAAGGTTTTTTCTATAACCGAGAAATCCTCGAGTGCAAAGGTGCACGGTCTGAAACTCGGTGAATAATGTGTCCGCCCCTCTATCCTTCTCCCCTTAAATATCAGTGTTTTGTATGCGATGAACAGGGCTCGAAAAATTATAAGGACTTCAACTGACACCAAAACTGAAGGGGATTGGGGATTATAACCAAAAAAATCCTCGAGCATCCTTGGCATACGGTCTTGTTGGTTTATATGAGTCCACCACTAGTCACGAGACCAGGTCTCTTGACTTTACTATTAACAGGAAGTAATGTAAATGCTTAAAGTAAGAAACATAGATGTTTACGTGGAAACCTCCTTGCTCAAAGGAGGAAAAATCACAACTTGTCACACAGGATTTCTTAAAACTCCAATAACTTCAAGCAACAAGTAAATACAAACTCAACTCACAAACATGATCTATTATCCTTTATAGTATAGGAATAGATCTACAATATGAGAGTACAAGACACTAATCTCAAATGACAACTTAGATGCTACAAAAATCGATCAGGTCCCTTGCTATGTATGAGAGAAGTTGTAACGCCCCGCACCTTCTAAGCAAAGATTTGAACCATCCTCCGTATGTGTATAGGCCCAAAACCGATGATTTCTAATCTATCCATCTATATATATTAACGTCCTTTACTAAGTATAGTAAGTATATTAGATGTGGTAGTTCAAAGCATTTTTCCATAGTACAAATATCTAATTCTCTAGAACATCTACACTTTTCTTAGATACATACAAATACTAAAGATATTACTCTACGAAACTCTAGAAAGTTCCACTAAATATCTAGGATTTGTTATATCTCCAAAAAATCATCTTTATTTTTCACGGTTGAAACAGATCATGATGATTTTGAAATTCAGGTTGCCAAGGTAAGTATATGTATAAATTAATTGTCATCGGATGTATCTCGTGGAGAAAACATTGATTACTTATTTCATTAATGGAGTTTATGCAACATGATTGGCCATTAAATGCTTAATAGACCATGATTGGCCATGCCATTATTTATTAAGTGAAATAGCATAGATGAGCCAAATAATGGCATGGATGAATCTGTTCTCAAAATTCGATGACATATTTGAGAGGGGTATACAAAGATATATTTTTCCCTTCTCAGGCCCTACTATATTTAACCAGTTGACATTCATAGATAGGAAGGAAAAAGAATAAAAGGAAAGTCACTAGCAAGAGATAAGACAATAAAACACTACTTTTGTATAGTACAAGTAAAAAGGGCAGAATAATTGGAGTAACTTGCAATGTAATTCCAACAGAGACGACTTAAATATGTACAAATGATTAGTTAATTTAGAACTCGAACTTCTGGTTCCGCCGTTATGCAACATGACTGACAATAATTGAAGCAATCCACTGCAGAAGGACAACAAAAATCTTAAGAGTCCCCACAACCTTTGAGTGAGGATTTTTCAATTTGAACCACTCATGAATGTTTTTTAATATCTGACAGATTCTCTATTTCCCAAAATAGATATAGAAAAATATGTAAATTAAATTGGACAGATAGAGGGAAAACAGAAAAAGAAATGTTCCGAATGATATGAGACTTGTTACTTCATTAGGATTGGTAAAGTAACACCTCTCGATAGCGGATTTATCTGTGTTATTATGAGAACATATCTATAGATAGAGGAAATCAAGATCATGTGCTAAATCTAAAATGTTTTAAAACCAGAAACAATACCAGTTTATTAATACAAATTAACAAGATGATCACACAACACAACCAAAACACGAAAACACTCAATGTACAATCAAAAATATCAGAACCAGAAAGCAAAATTAGAACAAACAAGGAACTGCCTGAAGCACAAAGCGCTGCAGGCTCAATCTGCTCATAGAGCGAAACTAGCAAAAAAAAAGAAAATCAAAACAGCAGTGGTCCTTATGCATTTGCGTCGAAAAGCTCGCCTTTACAGATGAGGGTCAAGATCTTCTTCACCCTCTGACGTAATATGAATTTATACAAACTTTTCTTCTGTAAAAAAACAAAGGATCATAATTAAAGTGCTGAGTGATCAATCTACTAATGTATTTAGAGAGAAATGAAAAGTTTGTTTAATAATCATGCATTTTTGCAAAAATATGATCACCGGCTGACCTCTTTGCTACACAAATACAATATAGGGAAAAGGGTTTTATATACCCTCCATCTTTGACATTTAGAGATGATATATCATTCGTAATAAAAGTGACACATATATACCTATTATTACACAAATGAAGCACATATACCCTTTTCCTCTAACAGAAGTGAAAAAATTAATTTTTATTTTTTAAAAAAAGAACATTCATATAGGGGTATATATATTTGATCGTATTTTTTTTTTTTACATTTTTTATTGAACGATTAATTTAGATTTATTATTATAGCAAAATGTGATCATGAGAAGATATAATATGGCATAGAAAAGAATAGACATAATACATAAATATGCTCTTTAACTTGGCTTCCGTTTGCATGCATCTATGCCCTCCAACTTTGGGCGTGCACAAGTAGGTACTTAAACTTGTATAAAATTGAACAAGAAGACATAGACATCTTACGTGTCATCCATAATACATGTAAGACGCCACATATGACACAAAATTGCCACATTCTAGGATGAATGTTCAATTTTATACTATAAGCTTAAGTGTCTATTTGTGCAGAGTCAAAGTTGGAGGACATAGATGTCAGCTAAAGCCAAGTCAAATTATATAGGGAAAATGCATAAGTACCCCCCCAGCCTATACTCGAAATCCCAGAGACACACCTAACCTTTACTAAGGTCCTATTACCCCCCCGAACTTAATTTATCTATAATATTCTACCCCTTTTTGGCCCACGTGGCACTATCCTTGAAAAAATTGTCAACATGCGCTGGGCCCACAAGATAGTGCCACGTAGGCCAAAAAGGGGTAGAATATTACATATAAAATAAGTTCGGGGGGGTAATAGGACCTTAGTAAAGGTTAGGTGTGTCTCTGGGATTTCGGGCATAGGCTGGGAGGGTACTTATGCATTTTCCCAATTATATATTATGGCAAAAGAATAATCAAGTATAATACTAAAGGCATTTTCATATTATTATTATTATGATTAAGAAATGTGAAAGTTAATTGGCACATCACCAGGAACTTGCTCCAGTAGTATTCCTTGAAACAATGCTGTAAATTTGATTTGAAGTTGTCATCATCCCATTCCAGTTGGCTCCACCATTCTTGTGATTCTCCTCTTATTATTTTGATGTTTTTGGAGGTTTGAATAGAGAGAGGCAACTTCCTTATTCCATTGCATTTGATCACCTCAAGTTCCTCCAGGTGTTCCCACATACTCTGTGCCTCCCCAAAAGTTGCTAATTTTGGCAAGCTTCTCAAAGATAACTTCCGGACCCATGGAGTTTCTGAGTTGGCAAGTGAGCCACCGCGTAGCACCAACAAGTCTACCAGTTCCACACATTGGTGGATATTTATTTCTTCCAAGTGCTTGGGTGCAGAACCAACCGCGTTAAAAAGATATGTTACTCTTGGACAAAAGGATATATCCAAACGGCGTAATTTGGAAAATCTTAGACCCAGAAAATGACCGAAATCAGAAACACTCTTTAAATGATCTACAGAAAAGAAGCTGAGATATTCCAGATTTGGAAGAGGGTCAATCTGTCCACTAATTCCTTCTTCCACTGGTCCAAAATCACAACAACAGTTGTAAATGCATAGTGATTTTAATCCATTAAAACTACTCTCTTTGTTCGCAATCAACTTACTGAGACCCATGCAATCTACCAAGTACAAATGTGAAGCAAACTGCAACATGCCTGAGAGCTCTCCGTTACTAAAAGTTTCACACTTGGAGACGCTTATATCCCTTCTTGACTTGTTTAATAGTACATAAATTGAAGTTTTCCCAACTTCAATACAAAATCGTTTCAATCTTTTTATCCAGGTGTAGTCTCTATTGATAATCGATGAGCTATCCAATGTAATAAAAAGACAAGTCAGATTGTGTAGAGTCGATAGCTCATCAAAAGAAGTTGCTCCAAGACAGCTACCCATCATATCTACTATTTCAATGCTAGAAAATTTGAGGAAAAATCCTTGGCTGATGCTGCTCTGCATATCAGATGCAGGAATATTTAAAACCCTCAGATTTGTCAACTTGTCCATTCCTTCCGGCAGGCAACGTAACATTGTACGATCACAATCAAGCAATTGCAAATTGCAAAGATTACCAATAGGTGATAACTCTTTCAACATGCGGCAATTTTGTAGTATTAGAGCATGTAGTTGACATAACTCGTTGATGGAACAAGGCAGCGCTCTAATACCAGTTCGACTCAGGTTCAGAACTCTTAGAGCTGGAAATGACAAAAGAATTTATCGGGAATTTTCACAAGGGATTCATTGTCTTGCAAAAGTAAAGATGTTGTGTTTGAGCATTCCGTGAAGAAATCAGGTAGATATTCAATTTTGTTGCTTGCGAAAGATATTCTCTTGACAGAAGCTGACACTTTAGTAGTATGTGATATCTCTGTCAACCCAATTCCAGCTTGAAAAACAGAAATGTGTTCATCCAGCTTAGAGGAATTAGCTATCCATTTAGCAACATCACGAACCACATCATGCATCTTCACACAATCCATCTCATGGGCTTCTAGCAAGCAGGCATATTTTAGACTCCCAATTATTGTGATTCCCCTGTTATAAGCTTTTTCGTATGTGTCGAATTCACCAAGGAACCCCTCTGCCCACCAGCAATGTATGAGATCATCTATGGGAATAATCAAAGGATACAAGGAGCAATACAAAAAACAACTTTTAATGTCACCTCTCCTTTTGCTTCCAGTATCCGGAGATTCTAAATAATCAAAACTCAACTTGATGACCTTGTAAACCTCATCTATTACATCTTTGTCATAAGGTTCAGACATTCTAAGTGAATCCAAAGCATCTACCCATTCCTCGACCCTGTTCTTCCCGCTCATACATGCCCCAATAACAGTTATTGCTAAAGGTAAACCGCCACACTCTCTTGCAATATCCCTTGCAATTGGTTGAATATTCTCCCGATTGGCAACATCTCCTGCAGTTTTGATAAACAATTGCCAAGATTCATCTTCCTTCAATGTGGAAATATTCATTTCGATGTCTGTTTTCATTTTCTTACAAACATCCCCAAAACGAGAAGTTATAATAACCTTGCTTCCTGTGTGAGCTTTGGGTTGGGGCACACCTACATGATCCAAATTTATAGCATCCCAAACATCATCTAGTATGACAAGGAAACTTTTTTCTTGGTTGAGCCTTTCCAAGATTTTGCTGGCAATGCTTACTTCACTTCCCTCGCTATCTACCTTCAGGTTTAATCTGCTCACAATTTGTGCTTGAATCTTTTTTATGTCTATTGGTGGTTTGGGCACGGTAACCCATACCACAACACCAAAAGACAATTTAGAATTTGACACATTAATCTTTAGAAGCTCATTGTTCAGATTCTTTACCAATGTTGTTTTACCAACTCCTCCTGGACCCACCACACCAATGATGCATACCTAAAATATTGATACAAGTACCCAAAAATATAGTAATTTAGTATATCAATGGTCATATATATCATATTATACTAACTTCAAGTGAAAAGTTCAAATATCATAATCATATATTATTAAAAGTGGGAAGCACCCAAGTTAAAAGTTGAATTACGAAAATGCCCTTATAAAGTAATAATATTTATGGACAAAAATGTAAATACACATTAATTATAACATTACATTCAACATTATTATTATGTGTTTATGGACAAAAATATAAATACACACTCTTAAAAGCTAGGATTCTTATTTGTTTATTTTTTTCGTTTTTTTCATTTTTTCCTATTATTTTGCTTTATCTTGTTTGCTTAAATACCAAAAAAGACTTGCAGCTTAAAAAATGCCTCGGTTAAAAATATATTTTAAATGCACCTTACTGAAGAATGCTAAAAGTTACTAACAAAATAAAACTGAAACCACAATCAATTGCTACAAACTTTATGGAAGAAGTCTGAAAGTTTCCAGCAACTGTTACTATTTCTCTATTGATTTATAAAATAATTTTTCCTCAGCAGCTCATACATAAATTAATTTTCGTTAGTTTTTTCATATTTCTTCATTATTCATGTTTTCTACTCATTACAATTGTAGAAGCTATTTGATTGGGGTAAGCTAACGTGTCTTGATTGCAGAAGAAGATTCACCAGAGCTTTAACAATAATTTGGTATGAAGAGTGTTACAACATCAAATACAAAATTGTTCTCAGAATTCATAGAAACTCGAAAAAGGTACAATTCCTCCATCTCAATTTGTGTGATATTTTTCATTTCTTGAAATTTATTTAATTAAATTATACAAACCTTAATCAATATTGAGAAAACTTACAACTTATAATACTTTTCGTATAATTATTTTACTATCTCTGTATTTCTTTATAGTATTAACTATCTCTGTATTTCTTTATAGTATAGGACGTGATGATGTACTTACTTAGTATTATATAATTTCACAGCATAGCTCATAGATATTCAAAGAAAAAAATATACTGAAATATATGTTATATTTTAAAGGTTAAACCTCATTGGTGTTCCAATAAAAAGCACGTAGTTACATCAAAACATATTGTGAAATGCTTATTCAGTGCCATATAAATGAAACAAAAACATTATTAGAGTATATATTTTGACTTATTGATTAAGAATCTACCACCCCTTATTTAATCTATAATAGATGCTAAATTTGTTAAGCTTCATTTTCAATCATCATTCCAAAACAATTTCCATAATATAATTTTAAAAAATCAAGGGATAATGTTACATTCGAACAATAGAGAGAACATGTATAATCAATCGAAGAGAAAAGATTGATTCTTTAACAATTACTTCAAGGATCAAACGAAGCACGATCAAGTTCCCGTGGGATGGATAACATATATATTAATAGAGGATGTATGTGATTCAATCAAATCCTATTGATTGCCAAACATTTTGATTTCCTTCGGTTATCAATTAGTATTAATGATGAATTTATATTAAAATCTTATATAATTTTTAAAAAATGTTAAATTCTTATATAAATTAACATCAAGAATATTCCTAATCCTCACCCGTCAGTGGATGAAATAATAAAGGATAACTACAAAGTATTATGTATATAGAAATTTCCTTCTGCAGTAAAATCAGAGTTACTTAATCATTTTTGTATATTCATTTTTCTGATACTAATATATCACATGTTTGGACCTAATAACATAAAAATGTAACTTAATAATGTAATCACCCAATCAAGTCATGTTGTTCATCGAATGTCTAATCATTTGACATACAATAAAGGAGTTATTTGAATAGGTTGATAGTTCATCTGTTTCAAGTTGTATTTTTTGTTGAATAGTTTCTGATACTTATTACAATGTGATTTTGACATAACTTATATCGTATTACGTATATAATGTTTTTAGGAGACTCACGTGTCCAGAACTAGTGTCCTTATAAAGGTGACTACTGCCCTTCTATTTTACGATCTTTTTTGGACAAAAATGTAAATATATATGAATCATCATCACATATTAGAGAACTTAGACTGCGCTTTGCGCGATCGTCAAAAATTAAATATTTTTGATTAATTTTCTATTGTTTAACCGTAATATTATTATTTGTTTTAATAATATGAAGATTGTAAAATAAAAATTAAAGCTTGACAAATTTTACATCTATTAAATGAGGAAGAATATATTCTTTATCAAATAAGTAATATATTTGCTAATAACAAATTCTTTTATCGCATGAAGTTGATCCTTTAATATGCAACATATATATATATATATATATATTGGTGTACCTTTCTTCTTAAATGTCTAAAAAATATCTCATAATGTGAAATACCAATGTAATACTAAACAAATGCATCAGCAAGTGACTTCGTTATATCTTCTTATTTAGTAGAAGAATCATCATTTATTATATTCTACTCCACATCAATTTGTACCATCAGAGTTTAAGTTTAAATATTAAATTTTAAATCAAAATAAAAAATCATTGAAAAATGACTGAAAAAATAATAATAGTAAAAAATCAAAATAAGGAGCAAGAAAAGCTTTTTCATGATAATTTTTTTTTGAAATATAGTGATAATAATTTAAATAGAGCCGTTATTTTATCTTTAAAACTAAGTTTAATTGAATATAATTTGTAGAATGAGAAAACATATTAAACTAATAACCCTTTAATATTGTCAAATGCACTTTCGGTTTAATTGAGTAGTGGGTCAAAAGTTACAAATTGGGATATTAAAATAATGTCTTACTCTTTTCTTAATTATTATGTTATTTTAAATATTTATTTTCCTTAAATGGTTATTCTTTTTTCATTTACAGTTATTCAATTAATTTTTTATGTATTGAATGTGGTTATGGGATATTGAAATAATATCTTTATCTTTCTTAACCATAATAAATTATAATCTAACCGTTATTTTTTTGAAATGACAATTTTCTTTTCGTTCCTACGACATATTGTTTAATATATTGAATGTAATTATTATAAAACATATTGTATTTAGTATGACAAAAGAATCCAAAATTTTGAGAAATTAGATAAATAGTAATCCAAAATTATAAAAAAAAATGCTAGAAAAAATAAAATAAAAATTGAGGCAATAATTATTTTAAGAAAAAAGTAACAAAAAGTGTCAGAAAAAATTGATAAGAATAAATAAGTATTTATTGATAAGAAGGGTGTCACCCCACATTTTCTATTTTAGCTTTATTATCACATGTAGATAGAAACTTTAAGTAGTCATGCTAGATGCTCATAGAAATAGGTGGATAGAAGCCATGGAAGACAAAATGAAGTCACTTCACGAGAATGGCACATATGAGCTAGTGGAGTTACCGAAAGGTAATAAGCTTTAACAAATAAATGGATCTTCAGATTAAAGCAAGAACAACACACATTTGCACCTAGGTATAAGGCTAGGTTAGTTGTCAACGGTTTTGGTCAAAAAAAGGGAATTGACTTTCATGAAATTTTCTCTCATGTTGTAAAAATGTCCTCTATTCGTATGGTTCTAGGCTTAGCCTCAAGTCTAGATTTAGAGATTGAGGAGATGGATGTCTAGACTGTCTTTCTTCATCGTGATTTAGAAGAAGATATTTACATCTGAAGGTTTTGTAGTTAAAGGAAAAGAAAATTGTGTTTGAGAAAGAGCTTGTATGGCTTAAAACAAGCTCTAAGGCAGTGGTACTTGAAGTTTGAATTTAACATTGAAAATCAGGAATACAAAAAAACTTCTTCTGATTATTGTGTATTCTTTCAAAAGTTCTCTGATGATTTTATTATCTTACTACTTTATATGGATGATATGCTGATTGTTGGCAAAAATAAATCTAGAATTGCAGTCCTCAAGAAGGAGTTGAGCAAAGAGTTCGTGATGAAGGAATTGAGGCCAACAAAGAAGATTTTAGGAATACAAATTCATCAAGATAGACACAAAAAGGAGTTATCATTATCCCAGAAGAAGTATATTGAGAAAGTACTCAAAAGGTTCAATATAACATATGCAAAAGTGGTTAGTACGCCTCTTGCTAAACACTTTAAGTTGAGTATGTCCTAGAGTCCATCTACTAATGAAGAGAAGGAGGAGATTTCATGTATTCCATACTCTTCTGCGGTTGGTAGTTTGATGTATGTTGTGGTTTGCACTAGACCAGATATATATTGCATATGTTGTTGGTATGGAAAAGATCATTTGGGTTGTAGTGAAATGGATACTAAGATATTTGAAGGGTACTTTAGATATGGAGTTATGCTTTGGTAGTGGAAAGCTTGAACTTGTATGCTACACAAGCTCTGATTTAGGAGGAAATCTTGACAATTCAAAATCAACTTCTAGTTATTTGATCACTTTTGGAGGGGGGCTTATTTCTTTACAATGAAGACTACAGAAGTGCATAGCTCTATCTACCACATAAGCTGAATATATTGCAATCATTGAAGGTGCCAAAGAATTGCTTTGGATGAAGGAGTTTATCAAAGATCTTGACTTTGAACAATTAATATTTGTCTTATTTTGTGATAATCAAAGTGTTATTTATTTCACCAAGCACTCTACCTTTCATTATAAGTCCAAACATATTAGTAGAAAGTATCATTGGATTAGAATGGCTCTGGAAGAGAAATTATTTGAGGTTGAGAAGATATACATTGATAACAATCCTTCAGATATGCTTACAAAAGTGGTGATCGTAGACAAGCATGAGTTTTATAGAAATGTGGCAGGCATGAAGCCTGTTAAGAGTTCCTCCATTTGAAGTTCATTTATCCCCTTGGTTGAAGGGGAAATTTGTTGGACTATGACCCATGTTCTAGTCAAAGGTCCATGGTCTAATCCTATTTGGAAAAGAATTGGAACTATTCTTTATCTTATTTGATTTCCATTTCTATTGGGAAAATGATTGGAATTGTAGTTCTATTTGGAGTTGATTTTAGCTTTATAAGGAAAAGCACAACTCTATAAATAAGACGGTTTGAGAGAATTATTCAATTGTTCATTAGTATTGTCTTTGAAAGACATTAAGACATAAGATAGGTTTTTTTAGAGAGCTTTCAACAAGAGAGAGGAGAGAAGAAAAAGTTCTTTTTGCTGTAGTTTTTTTCTCCGACTAGCAACCTTCAGATTGCGTTTCTTGATTAATTAACCGTTGGATCGGACTGAAATTTTGACTGAGTGTTCCCAACACCTCGGCGTTTGATTTGAACGGTGAAGATCGGATTTAGATCCCGAGCAATAGTTGGGTTTGGGTGATTTTCTTTCTATTTATCTTTTGTTGGTGTGGCAATTGTTTCTTCACTTTTGGCACTTGTTGTGTAGCCATTAATTAGGAGAATATTTGTAACCCTCTTATTATTATAGTGAAGCAATTCGGATCTTGTCGATCCCGTGGTTTTTACCTTCGGTTTGAAGGATTTTTCCACGTTAAACTTGGTGTTCTTTATTTTTGGATTTTCGTTTTCATCTTTTCGTCACAACATAAAACATAAATAGGGGTGGTCATTGTCATTTGTAAACAACCCAAATCAAAGAGTATTCTTCCATAACCAAGTTCTTCTTTTCAAAATAGGTCTTCTCCTTTCTAACTTCCTCTTAGTTAATTAAATCTTCCGATTAGTTAACGATCGTGGGCTAGCAGAAGGTTTTCCGATTATATTTTTCTTCTGTTATTCTCTACAAACTAAGTATTCTTCACACATAAACTCACTCAACTAAGAGTTCTTCTCATAGAAAATCACTCAAGTTTTTTTTATAACTTCCAAGTCACTCAACTATAGATATTCTACAAAGTCACTCAACTATGGATATTTAACTTAAAAAGTCACACAACGAATTTTAAATGATTTTTTCATTGAATTTTATTGAAATACAATTTTTGTTTTAAATTAAATTTTTTAAAAAGTAATAAGATGCTATTTTAATTATTTTTATCAAATTTTGTTGAAAAACAATGTTTGTTTTGAACTATTTTTAAAAAAAATAATAAGATACTTATTTTAATTATTTATTTTATTGAAATACAATTTTGTTCAAAATTAAATAAAAATAAGATACTCATTTTAAATTATTTTATTAAATTTTGTTAAAATACAACTTTTATTTTAAACTAATGTTTTAAAAATAATAAAATACTCATTTTAATTATTTTATTAAATGTTATTGAAATATAACTTTAAACTGAAAATACTGAATCCCCACCAACCCAACTAGCACTATACTGGCTAAAACTTTATGTAAACCTCAATATTGTTAGTACTCTTCAATTGTCCCAGTTTATATTCAAAGTTAATGTTCTAAACTCATTTCCAAATTACAATAAATATGGAGTTATTCTATATTATAAATATAAGTCCTACGGGTGACCAAACTCATGCTTTGCTTGTCAATTCTTATCTTTCATCTCTTTTTCCCATGCCTTTTTTTCACGGATATTTTTGTTCCCTCACTTTTTAGTATGTTTACATGTACATAATGTTCTAAACTCATTTCCAAATTACAATAAATATGAAGTTAACGAACCAATAAAATTACCTACTCTTTTTTTTTCTCCTAAGAATTCAATTTACATGTAGTAACACAACATTTTCAAAAATAATATGATGTTTATTTTAATAAATTTTGTTGAAACAAAATTATTTTAACAATTAGTTTAAAACAAAAGTTGCATTTCAATAAAATTTAATAAAATAATTAAAATGAGTATCTTATTATTATTTTTTAAAATAGTTCAAAACAAAATTTGTGTTTCAACAAAATTTATTAAAATAATTAAATGAACATCTTATTATTTTTCTTAAAGAAAATAGTTTAAAACAAATATTGTATTTCAACAAAATTTAATTAAAAAAAAATCATTTAAATTGGTTGAGTGGCTTTAGTGACTTTGTAGGTAAAATATTCATAGTTGGATGACTTTGAAATTATAAAAGAAAGTCAATTATTGTGAGAAAAAAAATACTCCCTCAATCAACTTTTATTTGTCATGGTTTCCTTTTTTTTAGAGTCAAACTATAAGAACTTTGACTAACATTTTATGCATTTTTTATCATATTGATATGCGAAAAATTGAAATTTAAAGTATTTTTTGTATAATTTTTGAATATCTAATTTTTTTTGTTTAAAACATCGAATTAATGTAATCTAATTTAACTTGAAAAATTTGTCAAATTGACTTTTGAAAAGCGCAACATGACAATTAAAAGTGGGCAGATGTAGTAATTGAATGACTTTGAGGTTATAAAGAAAGTTGAATAACTTTCTTCGAAATGAGCTCTTAGTTGAGTGACTTTCTGAGATTTGTTTATATCACCTTTGTGTCCTAGTTTCCCAAAGTAGAATGGAAGAAGCACAATATGGCAAAAGGACTTTTTATTAGAGTTTATCTCTATGTCTATAAATTGTAATTGAGATTATTCAATATGGCAAGGACTTTTTTTCACCGATATTTTTGTTCCCTCACTTTTTAGTATGTTTACAGTACATAGATTTAGGTGAAATTTCTCACAACCATCGACAACATATATTCATAGTTTGAATATTATTTTTTTCTATTGTCACGATATAAGGTTTCAACATGAAGCTCCGATATATAGATGGTTGAAATTGAAGATTAGATTTTTAAGAAAAAACTATTGTGTTACATGCATTTGTGGTTGAATTTTATTTTATTTTTTTAGAAAAAGGCACATATAAAAGTCAAGTTGGTTGAAATTAGCAAGTATGAAAGCGTAAAATAAAATTTTGGATTAATTCTAACATTACCTTATCATCTTCCAATAGTCGTAGGATTTCGTTGAGATTCCTTGTTGCTGCTGACTGACCCTCTACTGATGGTCCCGCGATGAACTCAACTCTTTTCATCTGGTAATTTTCTACCATCAAATTTGATTCAAAGCTTTCTCCGACTTGTTTAAGCCTGAAAAGTTGATCTTGAATCTTCTGTGCTTGAGTGGAGACTTGAGAGCGAAGGCTCCATTTTGGACAGCATTTATACGCAAATGTCTTAGCTGCTGCAATGCTTTGTTGCATAGTTTCCCATTCATCCTCCAGCTCGCAAACATTTTTGATCCACTTGATAACATCTGGTTTTGTTTTATAGCCTTCTCCCACATCTTTCACCACCTTTCCGTTGATTTCATCTCTAAACTTTGTTAGCTTCTCCATTTCCTCCCTTAGATTTTCAATTTTTGACGAGAAACGGACAATATTTTCAATCTTTGGATAGATGCATTTACATACAAACTTTCCCACCTCAACAACAATGCCACCTACAGCATTAATAAGTATATCCATTGAGAAAAATAAAAATATTTGTGATTAGAAAGAATGCTCTCAAAGATGATCAATTAATTATAAACTGAGTGTTCAATTTCTTCATTATTTATAGCAGAGCAAAAAGAAAAAGTAGTAAAAAAGAATAAGTAAAATTGAAGGAAAATACAAATACTTTAATCAACAAAGCAAAACATAGTATATATGAAGGAAAAGAAGAAATGGAATGTCCCAGCAATACTTTATTCTTGAGACAAGAGTGAAGCAATGACTTTTCCTCTTTTGTAAAATGATTGCATTTTTGTTTTACTGAAGTAACACAAGAATCTGTTTGGTCCATTCGGCGGAAAATTATACTGGTTAATATTAATTGTTTTGTAGTAGTAATATATAGTAGAGGTTGAATCCTCTTTGTGTGTTTACTTTTTCATATTTAAACTTTCTAGCTAGTTCGATTCCCATTCTCAACAGACCTAAAACTTTTGTTTTTTCTTGTTCTAATGGGCTACCCTTCTCCACTAAAATACCTTGCTTAGTGTATCGAACAATTAATTATAAGGACTTCATCTGATACCAAAACTTGATGGACAATGTGTACGTCCACCCTTCTACACTTTTGTTTCGGACCCATGAACGTGTGTCTAAGTCCTAACTCACACATCAGGCTCTACCGCTTAAGAAATTGGAGTAGAGAGTTTGTGAGTTTTAATGGCGTTTTAGCTCATAGCTGTATTTATATGAACTTGTTATAGGGAGAAAAGAATTATCTTACACAACCAAATTAATTGCAACTCAAAGGGAAATTTAGCAACCAGCCAAAGGGAGCTTTTAATTTATTTTTTAAAAAGGTAATCTTTTAACCAACATTAGACATTGTAAAAAAATCCATCATAACACAAGGAGCAGTTATTGGCAGAAAAAACTTAAGACATTTGACAGGAAATATATCACAACAAACTCGACCGGTTAACTTCAGCTCAAAACTCTGTCTCTCTGGTGCAGGAAGTTCCTTCCTCTGCTTTCTTTAGTCCCCTGAAAGAAGCAACAAAAAGTCAAGATCAATACATGGTTAAATAACAACAACACACCCAGTGAGGTCTACCTCAAATGTGAGGTAGAAGAATTGTTTTCGATAGACCTCTGGCTCAAGAAATAGTACAGATAGTAACAAAAACAACAGAACAGTACTACAACAAAATAATACTAAAAAATCAGAACTACACGAAATAATAGAGAGTGACAAAAATAGAAGAACAAGAAACTACAATAGTAGTCCTACGACCACTAGTAAGGTCAACCATGAACATTATGAACCTTTTTGAACAGAAGATAAAAAGAAAGACAAAATCGTGCAATTGAGAAATCTGAAAGTTAATTGGCACATTACACTGGAACTGCCATTCTACGAATCCTTTTCTAACTTTGATGTTGGTGTTTTGAATGGAGACAGGCAACTTCTGGTGTTCAATTCGATCACCTCATGTGTGTTCCTACATACTCCGTGGCTCTCCCAACGTTCCTAATCAAGCAACTGCAAATTGTAAAGATTACCAATAATAGTTGCTAACTCTGTCAACATGCGGCAATTTTGTAGTATTTGAGATCGTAGTTGCAATGATATATGCTAGTATTAGCTCCAAGGCTCGAATTCTTATGATAAGAGCGTAATTTGTGATGTGTGGATTAGTGTATATACCACAGATTAAAATACATGCACGCATAAACTTAATTTTTAAAGGAAATAAAATGATGTTAATTAAGACATTGAACTTTTAAATAATAATTGGATATATCACTTGCTAAACTTTACATCTAAAGTCCTCTTCTCTAGAATTCCCACCATTTGCAACTTACTATACTAAAAAGAGTAAAAATTGATACACTTCTTCTCTGTAATTGTTGGTATTATGCTCACATCTATTCCCTTCAAAAATGTTCTGCATTTCTCCAAATTCCTTCTGAAAAATTAATAATTAAAATTTGGATTATTCGAAAGTTTTTAAAGAAAAAAAAACCTATTCCTTCAGGTTTAATTTGTTTATATTATTTTGATTTTACACGAAATTTAAAGAAAAAACTTTTTCAATTTAAGAAGGCACTTTGTAAGTGCCATCCTTTGGCATGTTAAGCACTTAAAATTTTTGATAAATAGGGCAAGTATGAGCCTACTTTAACCAAGTTTTAAAGCAATATCTACAAAACATATGTGCGCAAAGCATGATTGATACGTTCATCATCAACCTTAATTCTCCTTAGCAAGTGCAGCATGTATGACTTGGTCCTAACACGTAGTACCTTGATTTCCCGATGTCTTGATAGAAAAGGAAAAAACTCGATAAGAGGATTACTCGAATAAGTAAAATTGAAGGAAAATACAAATACTTTAATCAACAAAGCAAAACATAGTATATATGAAGGAAAAGAAGAAATGGAATGTCCCAGCAATACTTTATTCTTGAGACAAGAGTGAAGCAATGACTTTTCCCCTTTTGTAAAATGATTATATTTTTGTTTTACTGAAATAACATAAGAATCTGTTTGGTCCATTTCATTCCAAAACCCTTCGGCAGAAAATTATACTGTTTATACATGGTTAATAATACATAGTAGAGGTTGAATCCTCTTTGTGTGTTTACTTTTTCATATTTGACCTCTCTAGCTAGTTCGATTCCCATTCTCAACAGACCTAAAACTTTTGCTTTTTCTTGTTCTAATGGGCTACCCTTCTCCACTAAAATACCTTGCTTTGTGTATCGAACAATTAATTATAAGGACTTCATCTGATACCAAAACTTGATGGACAATGTGTACGTCCACCCTTCTACACTTTTGTTTCGGACCCATGAACGTGTGTCTAAGTCCTAACTCACACATCAGGCTCTACCGCTTAAGAAATTGGAGTAGAGAGTTTGTGAGTTTTAATGGCGTTTTAGCTCATAGCTGTATTTATATGAACTTGTTATAGGGAGAAAAGAATTATCTTACACAACCAAATTAATTGCAACTCAAAGGGAAATTTAGCAACCAGCCAAAGGGAGCTTTTAATTTATTTTTTAAAAAGGTAATCTTTTAACCAACATTAGACATTGTAAAAAAAGCCTTCATAACACAAGGAGCAGTTATTGGCAGAAAAAACTTAAAGACATCTTGTAATGACCCTCTTGGTCATTTTTGTGTCTTGCCTCTTGTGTGTCGTTTAAAGCGTTTCTGTAGCGACCCCAAGTCATTTATGACTTGCTGGGACTGACAGTTCGGTCACCTGGTCGTTCGTTTGGTCTTGGTGTGAGTTTTTGTGTTTTGGAGCTTATGAACCTTGAATGATCATTTTCGATCAAAAGTTCAAGAAGATGACATCGGAATCTAATTCTGACGATTTCATCAGCTCCGAAAGGGTCATTTTAAGCTAGTAGCACGGTCGACATGACTCCCAAGGTTTTTAGTGTGAGTCGGTGTGATTAGGCGTTTTAGCCTTTGAATTTTGGCTTAAGTTTGACTTTGGTCAACATTCTGAGTAAACGCGCTCGGATGAGAATTCCGTCAGTGCAGTTAGCTCCGGAATGTCGAGTTTGGTCTAGATTGACCCTTCTTTTGTGTCCCGAGGTTTTTGATATCTTTCCGAGCCCTTTTGTGGGTTTTGGCTTAAAATGGCCTTTGGAAGTGGGACCCACTTTTAATCGAAATGACCTCTGATGGAAATTTCGACTGCGCCGTTGAGTCTGGAATATCAAATTTGGTATGGTTGCATATCTCGTTTGCGTGCACGGGGTTCCGAACGAGATCGGAGCACCCCGTCGGAGTTTAAGGTTTTGGAATTATTGCAGATTTTCTGCAATAAATGCAGAAAATCAGCAACATATTCCCAAACTTCAACCTCTCTTAACTCTCTCATCTCTCAACCGATTTGTGCGATTCAAAAGGCAAAGTTATGAGATTTTTTGAGGGCAACGCGTTGGTGAGCTCGGATGGTGGTTTGGGGTTCCCGTTTGAGGTAATTTCGCGAAAAACCTGACTGCTGTACCTTTTTCGAGTCCTTGTTTTTGGAATTTTTGTTTTGGTCATATCTCACTCATTTTAGCTCAGTTTTGGGTGATTCAAAGTCCCACGTGTTGAGAATTGTCGTGGCTTCATCGTAAAGTGTTCAAAGAGTGCTGGGCACCTTTTGATTTTCGTTTATTTTGATTTTTGGACTGCTGCAGTAGGGTTTCTTTTAGTTGTTTAAAGTGTGGTTTCTTGCTTGTTGGTTCTTGCTATGTTTTGAGCCTCGGATTGTGTTCCATTTTGGAACACAAGTTTGGAGTGTTGTTTAGGGTCTCTTGACGGAGTCAAATTCGGACAGTTCGGTGCGGGTCCCACGATTCCCGTTTTGACTCCAAAATTGACCCGTCTCCGTTTGTTGTGATTTTGGTGTCTAAATGACCGTAGTAACGTTGTGACTCTATTTTTGATAGCGGGGCAGCGTTTCGAGACTGTTCGGAAAGGGAAAGCTCCAATAAAGTGATTGGAGAGCGCACGGTTGGCCTTAAGGTAGGCTACGGCTTTCCTTTTTTTAGATTGAGCTTAATTGTGTAAAAACACGTTGATTGGAGTGAATTGGGGGTGGGTACCAGTTTACTACCTTACTTTGATTAGATACCTCATGATAGGATCGATTGGCCATATTTCGAGTATAGTATCATGTTATCCGGTTTAGTAGAGTTGCATGTCTATGTGCTAAATGCTATTGTATGCTTGTATGCCTTAGTCTAGATTAGGCTAGCATTGCCTTAGACTTATGACCCGTGTGGGCTGGATAGCCTTGACTTTCTGCCGACGTCGTTCGGATGACTTAGCTCCTTGTAGACTGGAGTAGCAGACTTGAGTCTGATAGTTTGAGCCTTAGATTAGGCGTTATCGCTGCTTGCTGCACTTCTGTATCTTCTCCCTCTTATTCTGCGGTTCCGACGCATTCTCGAAGGTTTAGTGCATCACTAGAGGCGTGGGATTGAGATAGTATAGGCTTGGAGCCTTTTCTGTGATTTCTT